GACAGAGGAAGGAGTTTAGATTGTGTTATTATGTAGCATTGTCACCATCATCAAAATTCCTTAACGAAAGACTTTATTAAATTAATAATGTTCTGTTTATTTTTTCCTCAAAGCGTCCCTTTGATTTTGCAGTCATTGAGGATCCGCAGCCTAAAGGACCATCCCTTTTGATCCACTCTAAAACGCTGCAGGATTACCTTTCACTGCTTAGCTTGAGCACGGGAGAAGAGCTTCAGGAAGCCTGTTGCGGGACACTGCACAATCTCACTGCACGTGAAGGCATTGTAAGTTATATTCGCTGTGTAAATCAGTTTATCATACCTGTGAAAAGTGATCATTTGAAATGTATTTTATGTAATTGTCACGGCTCAGAAAAGAGAACACAGTATTCAAGACAGATATCTAAAAGGCTTTAAAAAAAAAAAAAAAAAAAAACATCTGCAGTGAGCAGCTAAGGCAGGAACCTGTGCAGGAAGGAAAACACAGGTTAGTGACCACGATAATCTGACCGAGGCTGGTCCTTTAGTTCAATCCGAGGTTGATACCAGCTGGTCAGCTGTCAAACAAGACATGCCGGGTGCCGCATTTAGAATCCGAGACACTGTAGTCGCAGAGGACGTAGAACAAGCAGGAGATAAGATCTGAGCAGACAAAGGAAGGCAGGATAATCCAGAGGCCAAAGCTGATGTCGAGGATGTGCTCAGGTTTTAGAGCCAGGAGATTAAAGTTTAAAGAGGTTCCGAAGGAAAACCAGGTCGGTAACAGGAAAGGGCTCCAAGTTCAGCAAATAGGCAGAATCCAGCAGAAGTCCAAAGACAGGTCAGGCAAACGGATCAGACAGAAACAGACAGGCTCAGTGGTTGAGAGGTAGAACAGGTCAGGATTAGGTAATCAGAAACAGTAACGCTAAAACACTCTCATCACTGGCTCGGAAATAATCTCCGCCTGATGACTGGAAGCAGGCAGATTAAATAGAAACTAGAGCAGGTGGATAAGATGAACGGTAATGAGAAAACAGGCAGAGTTAGGCAGGTGAATTAAATAAGCAATTAGCTCATTTAATTCACCTACCTATTAGCAAGATCATAACAATAACATGCTCATAGTCTATTCTGAACCGGGTTGAATAGTAACTATATTTTTAAATATAGGGAAAAGAACACAGAATTTTGTTAAATTATATGTACAGTTTGAACTTTTGTCTTATTATTTTGATTGACCATTTGAAAAAAAAAAAAGTCTAAATTATTAAATAAATAAATACATCGTAGTACAATAGAGATGATTTTTTTACAGGTCCAAAACTGACATAGAAAGGTTAAAAATATTGTGTATGACAAATTCTTGGGTTTGAATTGTTGAATGTCGTTCGAGACCCTGTAAAGAGTTCAAAGACATGCAAGGATCTTGTTTCTATGTCAAAACAGAAAACACAAATAACATTCACGCTTGCAGTGCCAAAGCAGCCAAGACAAATGTTGAAATACTTTTCTTCCTTACTGTGACGATGATAAATGTGACTCAGTAATAAAGGGTGTGAAGTTGGCCAGATGCCACTGAGATAGATTATTCCTCAACTGAGATGACATTCTCTGCTTGAACTTTTAATGTTTTTTTATATGTAACATTAACCTGAATTGAGATTTCTTATTTAGTTTTACATTTTCTCAATTTTAAAACAACATTACAAAGATTATAAAAGGGTCTGCTTTTGCCTTTCTTCAGGTCTCCAGTGTAATAAGCCAGATGATTGTGCAGAAACTGAATGGCATGCCGGTTATTGCGCCCCTCATAAACTCAAAGAAAGTCAACCTGCAGAAGACCACACTGGCTTTGGTTGGGAATTTGATCAAGAACCCAAACCTGCATCAAGCAGTTGGTAAGAAGCACGTCAAAACAGAACTACGTTGTGTATGTGAGGTTTCCTTGGTGAAATCCCACAAATATGTGTGTCTTTGAAATCTGATATTGTGAACAAGCAGGTGCAGCCTTGCAAGTGTTAACTTATGTTCAACACTAAATGTGTTTTTATTGGCCTTGTTACTTTAGGCCGTAAAGCTCTCCCAGAGTTGCTGAGTCTCCTTGCAGAAGGCACGTCTGGAGCAAACGAGTCTGATGACAACCTTGCTATGGCTTGCAATGCCACCAGTTGCCTCGTTCTGAAAGACCCTGACATGACCAAGAGATATTTAAGCAATGACTTCATAAAATCCCTCAGCAGCATCAGCCACAACATGTAAGGTGACATTAATGCAGAGAGAATGTACTCTTACACGTGTGCCTGAAATGAATATACCTTTCATTAGCTTTCATATGAGCCATATGCTTGAACTTTTCCTTTCAATTTTTTTTAGGTATTTTCCCAAATCAAGCAAGGCTGCTGCAGTTCTTCTTGTCAAAATCTGGTCAGATAAAGAGCTTCAAAGCTTTTTCAAAAAGGTGAGTTGAGTGCCAAAACGTGCTTGTCTCTGGGTGTGTCCTCTAATGTGTCTCCTCTGAGTAACCTACATTAGACACAAAAGTCCACACCTTACTCAGGAATTTCTGAGAACAGAAGTAAAGGCTGCTGGATTAGACATGGTTCTCATGAAAGCGAGAGAGAATAAATTAAACTTATAATGCAGTGGAATCCAGTAGGTCAGGTTTGATGAATCATACTTTGACCTGAGTTTGCATATGCATGTGGCAGCTTAAGAATAATTGTTTTATTAGCAGGATAATGAATAGTTAACAACTTTCCTAATGCTTTATTTTAGCTAATCTTAGTAATTACTAATTTTGAAATACTGATTTACGTGTCTTTTTGTTTTTACTGCAGCAAGGGTTGACCAAGTCTTTTTTTGTGAATGACACCACCATGGCAGCTCACAGGTCGCTCCATATTGTGGATTAGCACAATTTAACAGCTAAATGCTAAAATAACTAACCTGCACGGCACCTGAGCATCCACAGGACTGGGAGTCACTGAGGCAGAGCATCATCCCCTCCTACATGACAGAGATAATTATTCATAAGCTTTATAAGCATTCCTGCACTATGCATATGCTGAAAGACCATGTTTCTAAAGCCCCTGTCACACTATGGCGATTTAGCCAGCGTATGCCTGACGTACAAGAATCTTCTAAAAGGCTGGCATAAGCTGAACTTTCTATGTATTTTTTCAATTTTGGGCATATATGTAGCGTATTCATAAGGAGTCCAGAACATATGTCCAATGACAGTCTAACATGCATAACGCACGGGCTGCATAGTGCCCATGAAATGTCACAAACCAGTGTCCTAAGGGGGGCACCAATGCGCCTGGAGGCATCCAGCATGCATAAAAAAAGATATATTTGATCGCGGTATTAACCTAGCTGCTCGAAAAAAAAGAAAAAAAAAAAGAATAAATAAATAAAAACAAAGAAGAAAAAGTTAGGAAAAAGGGTTTGCAGTTGCAGCAGATTCAGCATTATGTCTGCTAGGAAGTTTGTTGGTTGTGGTTGTGGGTTTCTCTTGCCATCTCTTGTGGCACGTCTAAAGTCTGGAGGAGTAGTGATGGTTTCCCCCTGTGAACCCCCTTTTACACCAAAATGCTGCCAATACAGCATTATACAATAGCTGTAAGTTAGACCTTCAGACCCGTCAAATATGTTGATATGCGTTGGAGATAAGTTCTTGATAAGTTAAGCATAAGATATGCACTCTATACTCATAGGTTTTGGATAAGCTAGACACCACAACTTATGAGTAACTTACACTTAACGTCTGTTAACGATCACATAACTTACCTGTAACTTATGGCCCTTATGGCATACCTCTACGTACTTGCCGTAGGTTGACAGGTGCCAACGTACTTCAGAGTGCTTATAAATTATACAAAACGGACTCATAACTTATCCAACAAATGCCCGCGTTTTTGCCAGATTACCTGTTCTTCAGACATACGCTTGCTAAATTGTCGAGGTAAGACAGGGGATTAATGTAGGAATAAAAGGTGAAGGTTGAGGTAGGAAATGGCAGCGAAATTCCTTGCTGCAAATTAGCTTTTTTTGTCTTAACGTTCAAATTTTGCTTGATGTAAATTGTGTTTTAAAATACAGCAATATAATTTTTGCACTGAAATGTATTTTAGTATAATGTAGCAATGCTAAAAAAATGATTTTGATTGTGTGAAATCAGCATATGTATAAAACATGTTTTATAAATGATACTGACTTTACCAGTTCTTTTTGTGGCATGTTTTTGTTTTGTTCATATTTCCAAATGTGCTATCCAAATATTAGATGTCAAGATCGTAGCAATAAAGCCAAAAGAGGGTTACAGTGTATGGGGCAAAAGCGGCAGATATTTAATCTAAAAGTTGTCGTCATTTCCCTGCAGGATAACCAGTGTTGAATGTAAATCCCTGTGATTGTTTCTGAATTTTGCAGAAGTTTAAAATGCCTCTTGTCAGATTATCACTGCCTCCCTTTTGCCTCACCCTTATGATTAACTGCTAAATTTCTTTTTTTTTTTAAACAAGTCATAAGTATGCACATGTTTGCTGTGTGCTGAATTTTGGAGATGTTAGTCAGATACGGTTTAAAAGAAAATAATAAGTTAATAACACAAGGGTGTATTTGTTTGGATTACCACATTTATAGAAAACTGTCAAAAGTTAAACCTGCTTGGGTTTGTAGTACCAAAAAAGAGCACAAAGAGGGGGAATGAAACCAGAGTTCAGAGGTTTAAATCGTATGCTCTTTAAAACCAGCTTGCAAGGCTTCAGAGATCTTACAACCCTTTTTTATTTTATTTTTTATTCATCCAGAAAAGCGACTTCTTACAGCTTCACTAAACCCAGAAACCAAGTTGAATTGTTTTTCTTTCTTAAATTCCAAAAGTCTTAGCATGCAGAATATGTAATATTTTCAAAATACAAAATATTGATGAATTTGATGTAGGTTCTTCTTCAGATGTTCAAACGGTCATCAATTTTAAGTCACTTCTCTAAGGTTGACTGATGTTGGCTGTTTTTACAGCAGATGTCACTTCCTCAGGCCTCGCTTGCTCCGACTGCCCTTTGAGCTAAAAAGAAAGTTCAAGTCAGCTGAAATTCCCAAATTTAGAAGAACACAAACAACAACATTTTCCCATGTAAAAATACCTTAAAATGTAACTGGTATCTGTCTAGTAAAATTGACTCCAGAGACTTTAATAATTTGTATTTAAATGTTTAACTATTAAAGTATTGCTGGCATAGTCACTGATGCGAATAACATGTATTTATTTTTAATGTATATGTGCAGAAAGATGGTTTGTGTTTGTGATATTATTTCAAAAAGTTTTCTGCTTAACTCTGGGATGTAAATGTCAAACATGGTGTAATTTCTTAAACCTATGGAGAAGTCTATAAAAGTTCCTCCTGAAATCACATTTGGCTGATAACAATTTAGACACCACTGATACAGTAATGCATCCAAGTTTTATTCAAGTAAAAAAATCTAATCTGACAGACTTATATCATGTATGATGCAAAAAAGCACAAAAAGTTAACTTCTGCAGAGCTCCCTAAAAAAATGTGCGAAAGATTTTTTTCCAGCTTGCTGTTCATCAATATTTAAGTAACAACAGTGGAAACCAGTTAACAAACTAAATAATAAAGAAGGTGCTGCTAAAAAAAATATTGCATTCTGTGAATATTACTTGAATATATGCTTTACAGTCTCACTACCTAAATCTCATATACATCAGATACAAAAAACCTGAATCAGGTCTCTAAGAAAATAGGATAGTGAAACATCTAAAAAGACAAAAATGTAAAAAAGAGGACTTGATTTTAATTCAGTATCTTCTGAAAAATAAAGGACAGAACACTAATCATACTGAGACACTCTTATTGTCTTAATTAACCTTTTTTTTAATTATTATTATTTCTAGAGAAATTCTTCTGTAGTGCTCATGAAGTTACGGAATTATGGAGTGTCAAAGAGGCCAAAAACAAATCAAGAAATGTATCAGGAAATGAATAAATGTAAAAAATAAACTATGTGCCATTACTTGATGAAATGTAAAATTAATTAAATGCTCCATAGAAAATGAAATATATTTTATTTAGTGCTGTCAAAATTATCGCGTTATTATCGCGTTAACGCGAGGCCATTTTAACGGCGATAATTTTTTTAACGTGAGATTAACGCTATGTGGTTTTATGGTACAATTTTCCAAGTACATCCCGCTGCAGCCTGCGAGAAGGCGGGGCTATTTCCCCCCAGTCTATGCATTTCTCATAGGCTTCGACAGCGGAGCTCCTGAAGGGAAAAAGACGCTCATACACTGAGTGACGCTAGTGCCTTTTCATTAAGCCCCACCACCAACAAACAAGTTGAGTGTCTGGTAACTAGTAGCAACCTGAAATACGCTGAGAAAACAGATTACTGAGGTGAAATGGAATCTGCTACGGCACAGGTCGGTATCGTGTGTGTGTCTGTGTGTGGGTGGGTGGGTGTGTGTGTGTTCTCATTTTTGTTAAGAGGCTGAAAAGTAACTTTCTAGAGCGTAGACTACCTCCATCTAGTGATGTCGGTCTATTGATTTTGATGTATTGATTGAAAAGTGTTCATTATTATCTTGGTTAATTAACATCTAATGTTAACTCTACTACATTTTATAGCAGTAGGGTAAAATGCTTGTCTTTGTTCAAAAGACTGTATTAACTGTAAAGACTGTCTTTTACATCAGCCTGTTTTCAGGGCCTTTTTTTTGGCTACATATTTGTTATTTTTTGCTACATGCCTCCCCATCTTCTTGCCATATGTTTCTATGGCATAAATCAGTGTCTGTGACCTGTTTTCATTTAAAAAAAAGAACATTGGCACAAACCTAGCCTGTATGTATTTTTGTATGTCATCGAGAGTATTTAAATGATTTTCAATCAGAAAAAAAATTTGCGATTAAAATGCGATTAATCGCGAGTTAACTCAGGCATTGATGCGATTAATCGCGATTAAAAAAATGTAATCGATTGACAGCACTAATTTTATTACATGTTAAAATTAAATGTTTAAATGTATTTTTTTTAGATATTCTTATTTGCAATTACATTCTTTAAGTGTTCTTATTTAGGTAACGTTTATCTGATCAACCATTTGTGAACTGATGTGAATAAACAGTTTAGCAAAATACAAACAACTTTGGAAAACCATTATTTAATGACCTGTCATCTAGAACATGAAAAACGTAAGCATTTGAAGGAAATGGCTACAACTTTTTCCATCAAAACAATTTATTCCCCCTCACCAAAAAAAATTAAAAGAAAGAAATAATTTTTAGAGGTCCAAAGTATGAAAATATTCACTTTGGGTTATGATGCCATTATCAAGAGGAATAGTAGGTTGAAGCCAAATGACAAGGAAATCAGGCATTTCCAGATCCACATAGGGAAGAAATGGCTTCTTCTCAGCATTACACTTCTCAAAATTGAGTCAGAAAAACAAAAAAGGAAACTAAAGTTCGTCTGGCAAGCTGTTGACCATTGGTGCCGACTCAAGGCAGCAAAGGTGCTCTGAAACTTTACAGAAGTTGCACTAGCCTTTGGAGTAAACGAGTCTGGTAAATTAATTATTTGCTACTGCATTTGCATTTGCACACCTGCTAATCCGCAAGTACAGCAAATAGCAAGTACAGAGGGAGAGCATGACTGTGCCACTCACCGGCCAGTGAGGTTTTTTTGCTAAGAATGTTGCAGTTTTTACTACAGTTTACTACTGTGTTTTATTTTCAAATTTGAAAATAGCAGTTTTAATGAATTATTGCAAAATTCACGCAAAGAAAGTTGTAAAGTCCATTTGGTGAAGTACTGTATGAATATTTGCAATGCGGAGGATCTGGGTAAAAATTCCAGTTGTGTCAGGAAGTGCAGCCAGCATAAAAACTTTGCCTAGTGTGTGAACAAGAACAAATTGCTCCTAGTGAATGTGGGAGCAGCTGAAAGGACACGCATGCAAACAAAGACGTCATTTGAATTTTGTCTCTAATCATATTTCGGGGACAGCATGTGCTTGCAAGCTAGGGTTTAATTCCTAGGTATGTGAGCAGAGATTAAATGACATACTGGCTGAAATAAGTCCTCCTATCCCTATATTATATGCATGGCTGATTTAGGAATCTTTGAGCAGCTGATTGGTTGCATACTTTTGGTCACTCTTTCTTTGTAGCCAGTGTGTTTCAGCTGAGAAGGTGAACAGAAAATTTAAGGACTAAATCCTTTGTCATTTTTTTCCAGTTGAGAACCACAAAATTGTATTCACTTGTATTTAATTTCCAATTGCCTTCAAGAGACACGTTACTGAAATAAAGGATAAAATTAACCCAGGAAATGGTTAAGAAACCCAGCTCTGCAATGCACATACAAAAAGAAGAGATAATCTACCATTTAAACTACCATAAAACATGGTGGTACAACATGTGGGGGTTCTGCACAGGTTCTTTTTAGTAGGGTAAGGAAAGCCCAACAGAGTAGACCAAAAATATTGGATGAATCTAAATACAGACCAAGTCCTGGAACAAAAACTTTAAGAAGCAGAAAAATATGGGACTGGGCTGAAAACCTCCCTTTGAGCAGAAGAATGTATTTGAATCACGGTGAAAGTGGGTTTCTATAAAGCATGTTGTCCAAATTTTTCTGATTTTTATTTAGAAAATCAGACATTGTTTGACTCTCACTTTGAAATTATAGATTAATTTATGTTAGTTTATCGACAAACTCCATATATTACAATCAGGTTGGCAGCAAGAACGTGACAAATTATGAGAAGGTAATTTTTATGGCCCTCCATTGCTACCATGCTTGTTCATTTAGTCTTTTAAAGAAAATTTCCCTTATTGTAGTTGTAATAGTGTTTTTTTGTAGCACACATAAGAAACCTATTTTATTTTTATTTTTTTTAACTTCATCTTAACAAAAAAGGGTACAGCAGACTTACATTTTCTGATGGTCACTGACACGATTTCTGAGCACTGTGATCTGTGTAAAAACATATACGAAGAAAAACTTACTCAACTGGTTGGAGATTAATGACAAAGAAAAAAAGATGAAAAATATTGTCTGAAAAAACACCCCAAAAGATCTGTATCTCTAGGTAACAACTTATTTGTAACTCTGCAGGGAGAAGCATATTTATTGTATGTATGAATAAACATAAGAACTAAGACATAAAACATGTGGAAGAAAATATTTTCTTTTATCCCCATCACTCTATGAAACCATTTTTTTTTTATTTCTGTTAGATTGTTTAAACAACCCCACTAGTGGAATGATGGGCGGAATCGATCAGTTTGCTCTGCACATCTAGTAAAGGCCTGTAAATAAGGCAAAAAATAAAAATAAGAACATCCTGTAAAGCCTTTTGAACTAAGCATACAATTTTCTACAAAGACAAAGAACCCCCATAATGCATTTCAGAAGAGACATATAACTTTCTCAGAGATTTATTGTATAAAACACACATTGCCTGGACAAGAGGAGGGGGGTTATGGCGCTTAATCTTTGTTGTAATAATATGCACTCAATAAAATGTCTTTAGTGTTTTAACAAGAGCAGTTGTTGCAATGTGTGCTAAAAGGAAAAGTGAGGCCATATTTTTAAAATCCTGAGTATTTGGAAGATGACTTTTTATGGGGGTCAAAGGTCAGCAATTAAACATGCATACTCTCTAAAGGAGGAGAGACTGATATTTTGCTCATTTTCTGTCAATCTGAAACGTTAAAAAAATATATATTGAACTACTGACACCTTTAACGTTATGCAACTAGAAAAGACTCAGAAATTTCATCATTATATGTTTTTCTTTACAATAAGCTTCTGTTCAAAAACCATCTTTTTATCTATGTGATTGTTGAAAGGTGTCATATCTGTAAGACAGATGCGTACTGCTTTATCTGCTGGTGATCTCTGGCTGAGATGTATTTATGATGACAGATAACGTGGTTTTGCAAACTTCTTTGTATAAAATCATTTCTTTCACCGTCCTCATCCTGGAATGAGTCATTTCCAAACACTTTTATTGTTTGTGCACTTCCACAGTAATAACAATTCAGCACTTTTACCTCATACTTCTGCTTGGTGTACTTAAACTGAAGCTCAAACTTCACTGCCTCAAGCTGTCGCATAGAATCCCACAGCTCCTTTGCTTTCTCTCTGTGCAAAAGCAGAAAAATTAGGTGGAATATGTTAATTCCTAAATAAATGGAAACCGAAACTGAAGCTTTTTCTTGATGTACTAAGGCTTTAAAACACACATCGGTTCCTTCTACCTCAGTTTGTCCTCCTTCAAGTGATCAATGTTTAGCTCTTTGCGGCGGTCATTTAGGATTTTCCTCTTCTTTTCCCTTTCTGTTTGCCTTTTAGTTCCAGGTTGTGCTTGCTGGAAATCAAAAGATCATTTTTCAAACATTTTCCAAAAAAGCATGCTCAGTTTTTATAAAAGTATATATTGTTTTTATTAGTTGGCAGGTTAACTACCATATATCCAGTAAAACTCAGGTTGGATAAAATCATTTTCTTCCTTGCATCATCGTCTGCTTTCTTCTTAGCTTCTTCTTCCTCTTTTCTTGCTTTCTCTTCCTAATAATTAAAAAAGAAAAGAAAAATCTTTGATCTACGATTTGCTATTCAGCTAAAAAGTTCTGAAATTACACAGTTAACTTGTTAAACTGTATAGGCAGCTGACAGCCTTTGAGGTCTGGACGTGTTTTCAGCCTCCACTTACAGCTAGTCTGGCCTGCCGTTCTCGTTCCCTCTCAGCTCTAATCTTCATCTGCTCAGCTCTCTCAGACCTGCGTTTTTCCTGGGAAAGACAACGAGTTAAACCGTAAAGATCATGAGCAGTCTTTAAAAACCAAATAATCAGCTCATCAGAGAAACTGACATGAACATACAATGCGATCTGTGAGCACAAGCAGCTCCTCCTCTTCCTTCTTTCGCTTCTCAAAGTGATCTTCAATCAGGGTGCGCAGCTCAGTCAGGTCCTTTTCCATTCGCTTCCTGTGGATGTCCTGGAATTAATGTGTAAAACATGAGTACAACACTTATCCAAACCCCAAACAGCTGGCAGGTTCATCAATCAGCTCTGAGATTAACTCACATCAAAGTCCACTTTTTCACCATCTGGGATCTTAAGAGGGGCCAAGCGAGGCACAAATGCAGGCCTAAGAGGGATGTATGGAAATCCGATAATCAGTGCTTCTCTTATTGGGTACTATGTAGCAACTTGCAGAAGTATTCATACCCTTTTACACACTTTCCATAAGTTGTCTTGTTAGAACCAAAACCTTCAATATATTGTTAGTTATATGATTCTGCAGGTTCTTCAGCTTTTGAAAACTGTTCAGTTATTAGGGATATTAATGCTGTGCACACCACAGATGTGACAAACTGTTTGTTATATTAGTACAATGGGGGCATGTGGATAAACCTTGGAGTCTATTCTTTCAGTCTTACAGATAACTTTCAGTGATGACTCACCGCTACACACTATGTGTGTGTGTAGCTGCTGCTCTCACTGGGTGTGTCCCTGCTGAACTGTAAGAAGCTCTTTCAAACAATATTCTGGGCTCATTCCACATTCCTTATTCCCTATGGCAGTAGCAGGAACACAGTACAGTAATCTGAACAATCTTCTCTGTCTGGTTGAGAGTAAAAATGTCCTTTTAGACCTTAAGTCCTGTTTTAGTCATTTTCTTTATTGGGATGTTATTTAAAGTGAGGTAAAAAGCAGTGATAAGCAAAAAGTGTTCCCATCCGGTCCAAATTACTTTGTTGGAATTTTATATGACAGTCCAACAGTCTATATTCAATGGTCTGAACCGCCATACAGGAGCGGAGCTAAATCAGCGGCCAGGGGTGGCCGTGGCCACCCTTACCCTATCATTGGCCACCCCTGTGGCCACTCCCACCATTTTCCCCTCTAAAACAGATGGTGGCAGCAGTAAAACTCAAGTGGAGTATTCAAAACATTTTTATTTTTTGTGGTCAATTATACACATCCACATACTAACGTCAAATATGATAAGTACAGAATTCATGCACTTTTCAGAGCTAGGTTTTGGGTTATATGGGGTAAAGAGAAAATTATGTCTCTGCAAGTCATCTAGGAGTCTTCAATAAAATCATAGATAAATAACAATTTTAATAAAAACCTATCAATTAATTAATTTATGTAGATATTAGTGCTTGTAAATATAAATCTATGCAGAATGATTGACACAAGTGCCCCAGAACTCAAAACTGAAAGAGTTTTATCCACTATGCCTTTTATCTTGAAATTACGGATGTTTAAATATACGTGTCTATTTGTTAGCAAAGGCTGTAGGAAAGTATAGTTTGTCTTTATTTAGAAAATATAGATTTTTTTGCTCATTAATTTTCCTGTTGGAAGAGTGTAGATTGGCCCTGAGGTTCTGGTGCCAATCTGCTTTCTGCCACCCCTCAGTGTGCATTGGTTATTGCCTGGCCACCCTTATAAAAATTTTCTGGCTTGGCCTCTACTGCCATATCTATTTGTTTTTTTTTTTTGCATACGTTTATTTTCTCCCACACTGCTTACATTTGATCACTGCTGCACTTTAAGGATTGCAAATGTCACGAAAGCTGTACAAAACAAAATTTCTTACAATTTTCTTTCAAAATTTTGAATTTTGTATACGCTCTGTGTATGCAATAAAAGTTGTCTAAGTCTAACAGGAAGGTATGTTTAATCGACTTGTCTTTATTTCAATTCCCCTCCATACTGTCTGATATTACGAAAATACAATATGAACCATGTAATTTGTATCTCAGTATACACCCAGCTAATCTGTGAAGCCACAGCTATGTAAGAGGATTAGTGAACACATTGTATCCTGAGAACCATGGAAGGCATCAGACATGTCGACAATACATTCCTGAAGAAACGTAAAGCAGGTTATATTATGCAACATCAAGCTTCGACACATAGGGGACAGAGCAAACAGGTGCTCCCTTCACGAATGTAGGACTGCTTTGCTTGCGGGCAAAAACACTGGTATGACTGAAAACATGTCCTCCCAAACACAGCACAAACATGCAGTGGAATGTCTGTTCTTCAGCAGAGATTGGATTGCAGAGAAAGTAGATGGAAAAATGAATTAAGCTAAATATAGTATACAATAATTCTGACAGCCAAAAGGTATAAAATTTATAAAATCAATATATTTAAGGAAATCATTAACTGTCAATGTCTGATAAAGTTAAAGAATAAAAAAAAAAAATCAAAAATAAAATATAGTTAATTATGAAATATAATTAATTCCATTATCAAATAATGAAAAATGTAGTTAGGTAATGAAATGTACAATAAGTTAATCAAAGTCAGATGAAGTAATGAAATAAACTTTTTAAATAAATAATTAAAATTCATTTAATTTTTTTAATGTCTAACTTTTTAACTCCATATTTTATGGATAAGAATTGAAATATGACTTTTTAAAAGTGGCCCGCCTCTGACGGTGTATTTTGGAACTAGGTCATTGGATCACCTTTCAACAGAGCAATAACCTGAACATACAGCCAGAGCTAAAACTCAATGTTTAGATCAACTAGAATTTCCAAATCCAATTAGTATCTTCTGGCAAGACATGGAAACTCTGGCTCTACTTTGGTCTGTCAAACACTTTTTATGTTTATTTTTGTAATAGAAAATGAAAGCTATGCATCATTTAGATTTTTACATTAGTCACTTATTCTTGTTTGTCCATCATATTCAATCCCTCTAAGAATAAATTAAAAGACTTACTTAAACTTGGGCTTTGAATCATCTGTTTACCAGGAATTGAATAAGAAAGTCAGATTAATGAGGGTAAATCATAATGTTGTAAACCATAAAAGGGGAAGTCATCTGCGGGAAGCTTACCTGCACCCACTCCATTTTCCTCTGAAGTGTCTGCTGATAGATTGGATGAGCAAAAGGTCAAAACTTAATGCAAAAACTCTTTATCAAGTGACACACACATAATCCCTGCCGGTTGTCCCTTAACAGTCTGTCAGTAACAACAGAGCCCTAAGGCAGGTACTGCTGCAGAGAGTGAGTCAGCTATCCCTAAACACTGACAATCACCTGTCAGGGATGATTGACTGCAGACACAAGAGGTATATCTGCATTTTTAGACCTTTAGATTGCTATCACTGATACTATCCACCCAGGTTTCCTCCACCCAAGTCTGTAATGCAAAAAAACAAAACAAAATACAATAAAACAAACTAAGGAAGCTCCTAATAAATACAAACATGAGCTCATAGATTACATTTCAATTAAAATGGATTGTAAAACTAAAAATTTTGGCTTAACAATCACCTTTTAATATGTCACGTAATAAGAACGTTCATATCACATGTATCCTGATGTCTGCTCAGAAATATTTCAATCCTAGAAGCCTTCTCAGATTAACTGTATCTATACTCAAATTTAGGTCTGTTATATTAGACGACTTCTGAAGGCAATTAGTTGAAATTAATTTAATTGTAAGGCTATCAAATAAAAGAAACCCGATTTTAACTATTTCATTAACTATTTCTACCTTGTTTTTTTGTTAAAATGTCCTTTAAAAGGTTATGTTCAGATTTTTTTTGTTTTTGCTTGCAGTCTTTCCAGTCCATTTGAAATGAAATGCTTTCAAAGTTGTTTAAGTGTCTTATGTTTTTCAGTTACCCTCATCAGGTCTGTTTGAGAAAAAAACCCCAGTAATTAAGCCCCTCCAGGCATAGAATCTAAACCCTGTTTCACTGCAAAGAAGCTAAGCCAACCTGCATTTTAGGAGAACCTCTAAATGGCAAAAAAATGAAAGTGGGTATTGTCCGTGGCTCCTACTTCCCCAAGGTCCTCTGTGGAGAACACTTAGTGACCTACATTGCTCAGTTACAGCAACTGTACTCCACATAGGGGAGGAGATGGGAGCTGCTTTGTTACAGGAGCTGGCAAACTGCACTGGCAGCATCCCACACAGAGAGCTATAGAGACAATTTATCTATTTCATGCTGACATTATGCTCCCTTGGAAATCGAAGAGCAGATCCCCTGTGATGATAAGTAATTCAGACAGAGCAGGCTGAAACAAAGGTCAAAGTTCAAGCAGACACAAAAGCCCACAGCCAGCAGCCTCTGCTGTGGCGCCAAATGGATAAAAATAAAAAAAGACTGCACCATAAACCAGCAGAAGCAGATGCAGCCCGGTGGCTCTTTAAATAAATGTAGGTAAATCATGAGGTAAAGTGACAGACACATCAGCCTGCTACCTCTAACGCACTTACAAGACAAAGAGCTGATTTTCATAGACCAATTCTAATGTTAAACCACTAAATATTTCTTTTTTGCACAATAAAATGTTAACACTTTATGTAACATATTTTGTAAATTAATGGATACGATGTAATCCCAGCTTCTTTCTCTCGTTGCTTCAGAAAGAAGCACTGGATTCCCTCGTGTCCTCATGAATCAGCAGCTTATACAATACACTTCTTTGTTAAAATGTGAAGACTTATCTGGATGGAATTTGGGTTCAATGATCCGAAAACACTGATGGAAGCTTACCTCTAGAAAAAAAAGAAAAGAGAAAGACAAGAAAACGGTTGTCTAAATAGATTACATCATTTCTTTTGTCAAATTATTCTCTCTGCAGAAATACTCACTCATAAGCGGCCTCTTCGGTGTCCGACATGTTTCGGGACACAGTACCTACACACCAGAAAGGTGCTCCGCATTTACAACAGCAAAATAAAGTTATAAGAACATCTCGAACCTGCAGTAACTTACCCGGACTGTTTGTGTGATTCAGACAGTGCCCAGTGGGGAATTGTGTACTGTGTTCTTCTCTTTCGCTCCTAAGCTTTTAAACCCAACAGAGGATCACATGGCAGCAAACAGTCCATGACTACAACTGATGGACACATACCTACAAACAGATGGTAGATGGCCTTAACTAGAAGCGTTCTCTATGGATCTGTATTGCCTATTTTTACCTTTTGAAGCTTCGGCGGTAAATCACAGGATTAATGTCCTGAAAAAAAGTTTCACTGTTTCAGATCTGACTGACTTGCAAGTTGCATTTAATCCTCATAAACCTGCTCCTGCATGTAGATGCAAACAAAGAAGCATGGCTCAAATCTTATTTCGGGGAAGCAATTATAAACATTAAATACAATTATTTTAGAATGAACTTTACAGGCTTCACTTTCTGTAGCCTCTGTAAAAGTGGCAGTTTTTATCGATATGGTAATGACTTTTACTGCTAAACTACCTCAGGGGTTACAATGAATAACATGCCACACACTTAACTGTCTCAATCGTTTGTACTTTGCCTTTAATCTCATCTCTGCCCTCACAAGCAATAACATGTTATCAACAACTGCTGTTATAGCCATGCCAAGCCCTTCGATAGTCTCTCTGTTTGCTGTAATCCTCTATTGGACACTACAGTGGGGACTATGACTCATTTCTCTCATCTGAGCTGAAGCCAAGCTGTAGCTGTGTTTGTAGAGTTGTCAGGCTGGGAGGTTCCCCTTCCACTTAACCCTCTCCTTCAGAGCAAAGGCGTTCCTGAATTATTTTAGAGTAATAGCTTATTTTTGAATTGTATGTGCAAATACTGAAGCAACCTGTCAGTGCATTTGCCAGTTCTCCACTAGTGCTAGTTGTAAAGCCATGACAGGAGTTACAGTATCTATGAAGCTCTGGAGGTATAAACTAACCTTCTCCGTTTCGGTTATTAATTTTGGCAAGACAAAAATGGTTATGGGAACTAAATTAAATAAATATGAAGTCATATTTTTGTCATATTTGGTCAATTGATTGACTGCAGTCTATATATATGAGCTTAAAATGCTTATTTTCAGTCCAAAGATTCATTTATCAGAAAAACACAGCATTTTAAAAACAAAACGCTCGTTAAGAACAAAATAAGAATTTTTTTCCCCCAAGATTGTAAGTTTTTGCATTTTTTTTTCAACCGATTTTCTTTGATTTGGAAAGAATCCCATTTATCTTTCTGAAGGCTATTGTTTGTAAACCACACCTGTCTGGCTCCTAAGTCGGACAAAACAAACAAGAGAAAGTGATTGAGCAAAATTTATTTAGCTAAACTGGGTTCCTTAGTTCATCCGGGATTTCATCAGAAACCTTCAGTCTTCCAACAAGCATTTTGTCCAGTTTTACAAAACCAACAGTTTAATCCACTTTGGTGAAAACGGTGGAGAGGGGTATCAGGTCTAAAAAAAAAAAAAAGGCCTTTTATTCCACCAGACACTGCCCCCCTGTGGCAAAATGAGCTCCTACAAGATTCAATCGAAATTAGAACATTTTTAAATATCTTTAAGAAATGATCTCTTAAAGCAAATATGTTCACCTGAATGTTCTAAGAATATATAATTTCTTACATCACAATGTAAAAAAAATAAGAAAAATATATTTTTTTTTCTTCATCTTATTTTTACAGTCTGTATTTCAGTGGTGCATTCAGATGAACATATTTGCTTGTAGAAGAGTCCTTTCAAAGTAAAGGATCTGGGGAGATCAAATAATGAGGACAGCTTCCGGCTGAGTTTTAGGATTTGTCTAAATAAATAAATAGATATAGATATTTTAGAATTACTCAAGGAGCATGGATAATGGCTTTGAGTTTGTTTAAAACCTTAGAGATATATAACTTTACACACCAAGAAAACACATTTTTAAATGGAAGTAGTTCCTATGTGATTAATAACTATTATGTTGGATAAAAATGTTGAGTAACATAGTATGCTACCAAAGGTTTCTGCTTTTACAGATTTTATGAATGTATAATGGAAAGCACGGACAAATGCCTAACATAATTGCATCACTACATTAAGATGATGCAGACTGATAATAAAGACTTGTTTAAAAGAATTGTCTAATTATTGTAGTGTTATTTTCTTGCTATAATCTCAGTGAGTGTTTTGCATTTTATTTTTGTTTAGATGTTGACAACTGATTTGACTAATTTCATGTCATGTTTGCAGCAGAATGGAATAGTAAGTTAAATAGGTATCAGGAATATTGATTGTGTACGGATAATAGGAAGGTGGAGGGGTGTGAATAAATAAGTTTCACTTCTTCATACTTTTTCAGTCATAAGCACTAAACTTTGCATATAACAATTATGCATGCCTTGTTTATAATATTTACATTTCAGTTTTTTATTGGTTTGTTTGAAATAAAGTTATTCATAGTTTGAATATTCATCAGTCCACAAAATCCATGCTTGAAATATGTTGAATACCTATTTATGCAATATTAAGCTACCATAAACTATGAAACGATCAGTTTATGATGAATATAGATCTGTTAATAATCAGAGTAGAAAGATGTTTAAGCTCACAGACGCCATTCTTCAGGAGTCATTGGGACAAAATGTTTGTTGTTTGTTTATTTCAGTAACATAGAAAACAAACCAACTTTGACTAGATGTAGAGTCTAAAATAGCTTTAAATTCTGTTTCTGCTACATTCAACATGCATTTCCAGAGGTGTTTTTGAAGATGAAAGCCATCGTGTCTTCATAGACCGCTGTTTTACTGCGTCTGGCCTTTGGCTGCATCAAACATTTTCTTGCGCCCCTCCATGCCTGACATGGCTTCCACGTTCTTCCTCCAGTCACTCACCTCCACTGTCTTTTCCTGTGGAATTAACATCACAGTGTGGAATGTAAAAGGTCAGTGGAATATAGGATAGTACTGGGAAATTCATTGTCCTTGGATGGCAAGATTTACAGTTTAAATTTTTTTTTCAAAATTAATCGAAGTGCTTTATTGATGTTACTTTTAATGAATGACTCCTTACAACAAAATGCCAAATCCTAAACACTCTTTCAGCTGCCCCACCCTCCAGAAATGCCATGCAATGGAAACATGACATGGTAAATTGCTATGGAAATACAGAAAACACATTTTCCTTGTGCTGCTTTGTTAATTAATTATCTTATAATTCTGTGATGACTTACCTTTTCTGTGTCGTCCTTCTTGACCGATTTGAGGTTGGCTCTCAGATCCATCGACACCTTGTGCTTGGAGCCCAGCAGGGAGCGCAGGATAGCATCTGCAGAGACCCTGACCCGTCTCAAATTAGGCCTCTTGAACTTCCCTCGTAAATCTAGCACTTTGATGTTTAGATCTTTAATCTGCGTGATGAAATCATAATAGAAATTTTTATTTAAACATTTTAAGAAATGTAATTACTTGCCATATACAGCTTTATTTTTTGATGAATTACTTGAGATATTTTGTAATTAAGTATTAAGGGTTACGTTTGGTGTGTTTGAAAATATTTGATGTGCATTTTAAGGTGCATGATTACCTCTCTGGTGTCGTGCAAGACCTTGGCTTCAATATCATACCGTTCTTCATCTACTACATCTATTTTAGCATGCAGTTCCTCACATAATGCCTACAAAGAAAGAAATATTATTCTGAGTGTAACAAAAGGGAAATATTTGGGTCAAATGTGTCTCTTCTTGTGAGTTTTTAACAGAGGTAGTTACCTTCAGGTCTGCCAGGGACATACCAGTGACTTGTAGGGGAGGAACTTTCTCTTCAAGGTATTTTGCTTTTTGCTCCTCTTTTTCTTCCATCTCCTGCTCCAGCTCTTCTTTGGCTTTTGCAACCATCAAGCTCTTATCAAAGACAGCGATAACAAAAAGAGAAAATTAAAAGTTTAGAATTGACTTTGTTTAAGAGTGAAAACTATCCCTGCAAATCCTTCTTACCTTTAACATGAGCTTTCTAGAGGCTGAGATTTTAGATTTTCTCTACGAAAAGCAGATTTATGTTTCAGTTCAATTCATTAACATTCAAAATCAGAAATACCTTAATAATCCCAAAACGAAATGAAATAAGAATGTAACATTTTATAATGGTTTAACTTAAACATCAGTGTTTGCTTTTAATGAAATCTGAAATCTTACCTCTGGCCTGTAAGGAGAACCGAAAATACATTTAAAGTTTGGTTTTAAAATATATTATTAATGTTAAGGATGTTTATATGAAAAAGAAATATCTATTGGCAGCATAAAACAGATACAGCTTACTGGAAATAAAAGCATAAAGCAACACTTACTGCTTCTCAGGCATCATGGTCATGGTTAATCCTGGAAGACAAAAATACATTTGTTTTATTTATTGGAGCCTAAAAGTGGAGTCAGTCTTGCTCTAGAGCCCCAGTTGCCCTTAATTATGACGTCCAGTTAATCCCCAGTATGTATCCATCACACTAAAACCACCCTGGGGGTTTTAGATTATGTAGATTATAGAACACTGTTGAGGGAAACTGGTTCTCTTATTTTCTGTCTCTTATCTTTGTTATGAACTAATTCATGAAATAAAAAAAATGTAGCAGAATTTAAATGTTGACATTTTCTAAGGTATTATTCCATGACCTCATGTGGTCTACTGGGAAAAATCACCCAATCGCCTTTCATTGCTGATAACACAATCCCCCCCCACCTAGCAACAATGTGATGTCTGGCGGGGAGAAGCATGCAAAGCCCCCAACTTGGGAATGCTTCCACATAGATTAGACCTCCTGTTTTCACCCCCACTTTCTGCTGGATAAAAAGACACAAATATAGACCAGACACGTCGTTCTTGGAGCACCATTTGCATTTAAGAATTTCAGGTCTACTTCCCAAAATTAAAAATGTATTTCACCAAGTGAAATAAACTATTTAGATAGCTTACAATGAAACCAATCCAGTTTTTCCCAATTTTAAGCTATATTTTAGTTTTTCACCTGCTGAAAGGATATTTTCAAAAGGTACTTTTAGTCTGACAAACATGCCTTACTATAATACTACTATTTGTTTGTTAGGTCTTTTTTTTTTATTTATCTTGTATTAAATAAATATATAATTTGCCAAATGGGATATGGTAAAGTTTTTTATGTATAAACAGAGCAGCATCATTCTAAGAGATGTTTGTTTAAATTATTTTACCTCTAAGGAAACAGATTTTCCCTTATTGTTTCTGTTTTCACTGTGACCTTTATTGTATTTTGTGTAAAACACCCTTTTCTCTTATCATTGTATTTAGATGTTGGTTGGAAAAAATGAAACATTTATAAAACTGACATTTTAAAGAAATTGTTTATTATGCTATTTCCTGACAAAGCAGATTTCAATAAAAATTTTGTAAAAGTTACATTGTGTTGATAAATGATACCAGAAAATATAGTTTTAGGAGCCTATTCGATCCTTTGTTCTAACAAAATATTATTTAGTCAAACTAAACATTAGATACCATTTCTGAAAAAAGATTTTTCATGAAAGTAAAAATGTATTATTTTTCTTACCTTTATGTGTTGATGCTACAGAATCAGAAGGAAAATGTGATGCAGAAAAGAATGAACCAGAAGGTTGATCTGCTTTTCTCCTTCCCCTCTCTTTATCACAAGGGGACTGAAATAGAAAACACACTAATGCGCCCACTACTAGAGGGGGTGGTCTCAGGATAACATTGTGTGGCATGTGTTGTTTTGACACATAGCCACTGTTCTTTTTTTGTTTGTTTTTACAATTATCTAAATAAATTAGCATCTTTTTCTTACATAAAATATGCAATTTTTTCTCAAATTCAGTGACATTTCTTAACAATTAGGAATTTTAAGTGTCTGCAGCTCTCCTCTCTGAGATAGGCTGAGGGGTCTTTGTCTGAATAAATGACAGAGTTTTTTGTGAATTTTAATTTATTGAGATCATTTAACCTAGTGTTCCCAGAACTAGAAATAAACAGAGGTATCATCTCCTTTATATGATCCTCAGCCATGAGGCTTTAAAGCTGAAGTATGCAGAAACTGCTGTTCCGTCAAACAGGCCTGGAAGCATTACCTGCTTTCTCAGGTCAAATCTTTATTTTAAATTAGCCTTTATGTTTCATTATTACTTGAACTGTGATGTAATGCATTACATATATCTCTATTTCTTTTTCTTTCTCTCTTTCATGTAAATGTGAAGCACTTTAAGTACCTCTATGTCTGAATTATGCTGTAAAAATAAACTTGACTTGCCCGTTCAAAGCTGTGAGTATGCAGGTTGTAAAGAAACCTGTCAAAAACCTTTTGTCTGATTATAAAGTCTGGTTATAAAGTACTAAGGTTGTGTCAAAGCGCCCCCTCTTGGCAGCACTGGGCTGTAAATTAGCAATGATCACAAAAAGAACCAGTGTTACACATTTAGAAGTAGCTGGGAGTCCTCTAGTGGGCTAGATGAGACTGCAAGGACTGCAAGTTCTGTTTGGGCCACCTGTTTATCATAGATAACTGTTTCCAGCTCATATCAGTAATTAATCGCCATTTTCAGGACTGGTTGTTGGGCTTTTAATTTGTAGTCGATTCAATCAGGTGTTTGTGCCTTCACAACCACTTAGACAGTAAAATTACCAGATCCGCTTTTTTGTGAAGTATTTCACATATGTCTTCATATTCATGATCATTCTCTACCACCTTTGGAGGTGTTTCCTACTTTGACCTTGGGGTTTCCAGCCCATACTCTTCACAGATGTTCCTGTACACTATTCCAGCCACTTGGTTATGGCGCCCTTTGTAAGCTTTCTCTGCCAGCATCTTGCACCCTGCAGTTATGTGCTGGATTGTCTCAGGGGCCTCTTTGCACAGTCTGCACCTGTGGTCTTGTCTGGTGTGGTATACATGTATATAGTTTTCTCTCATGTTTACCTGTAAGTTGTTTTATCATCTACTTCTCTTGCTTATTTTCTAGTGTTAGGATAAATATCATTGATGATGTGTGAGTCAATTACACTTTAATATTAGCTGCATGTTGTGTGTCAGAACTGATGTTTTCCCCAGTAGTTTATTCTATTAGGCCAGTTCCTCTGTCATGCTATATACAATTATGGTCTTCATTTTGTGCGTGGCAAATATTTGGGAATGGAATGAGAGCGGTGTCCTTCAGCTAAGAACAAAGTGTAATATTTTTGATAAGGCTGGAGCCATGGATGTCTCCTCATTTTCAAACATGTATGATGTAAAATGTGATGATCTGGCAGACTGGTATAAAAGGCTTCTTTAACTGTTAATCGTGGCCACTTCCCATGAAGTGAGCCCAGCTGGTAAGCAGCTGCCTTCTGTAACTCTAAGCAACTTCTCTGTTCTGAGTAAGATTACAATTACTATCAAAATCTGTTGTTGTTTGTCATGGTCGTTTAATACATATATGTTATAAAGTGTTATTTAAAGAGTTTGTCGCAAGTGATTTCTTTTCATAAAAAAGAACATGAGAGAGAAAGCTTCAAGGTACAGACACAGAGCCTGCCTTTAACACTAGTTTTTTATTTTTATTTTGTTTTGTCTTCACTTTAATTTAGGGATGTCAAACTGGTTCCAGAAAGGGCCGTGTGGCTGCAGGTTTTCTTTCCAACCAAGAAATAGCACACCAGACTCCATTCATCTCATCAAGTCATTGTGAAAGACTGGACTCACTTGATGTGATGACTGGAGTCTGGTGTGGTATTTTTTGGTTGGAAAGAAAACCAGCAGCCACACGGCCCTTTTTGGAACCAGTTTGACATAACTGCTTTAATTGGTGATTATTACCCTTGCCTGTTTCTCTCTTTACGGTTTAAAACATTTTCCCTGACTCAGAGCTTTCAATAATTACAATATTCAGTTTATATGTTTCCCTTATTATCTGCACTTGTGTTCTCTTCAAAACAGTTATTCATGCATCTTTTGCATTAACTTCAGTATATTTAGTCAGTTTAAAACTAGTGTTTCATGTTAGCAGGGTAGGACATGAGACAATTGTATTAAAGTAACATGGATGGATTATTTTTTTAAGTTGCCATTCCCCTCTTGTATTGATGGATCCCAGACATGGGCAATGTGGAGTCAACAAGTCATCTCCATGTCATGTATTTAATCTACCCAGCCAATTAACCAGGTGAGTCCAATCTGCACAGGTTAATTCACGGTGAAGACTGGACTCACCTGCTTCAGTGGCTGGGTAGAACAAATACATGACATGGAGATGACTTGTTGACTCCACATTGCCCATGTCTGATGGATCCTCTGCATTTCTCCGCACATACAGTCAGTTTTTTAACAACTTCTTCATTGTTTTATTGTCGTTAATAAAACTGTATATTCGACATTCAATTTTCAGAAACAGTTTATAAAAATGTTATGCTCAAAATATAAATATCATAGTAAATGTTTTTTCTGTTATCAGAGGTCCGTCTTTTCTAACATTTTACTTCACAGGATATAATTCTTGTAAAAGTATTGGACTTAATTTTAATTTGAAGAAGACAATTTCAGTAAAGAAGTTTCCTCTGTCAATGAACCAGACTGGGTCTTTGGACCTGAACTTTCTGTCCACATCCCTGCTTGTTTAGATGGGGAATGCATTCATGTCATATTTGGATCATCTGAAAAAAGGGAAAGCTCATTAATTTCTGCTTATGAGCTTTTTCGTAACAGTACTACTTACAAACTCTGACGTACTGTATTTTACAAGGTTGCTTCAAATATTTATTGATGAGTTTGGTTCTTAGATGTCTAACCATATCCCACTGACAGTCATTTAAAAGATTTGTCACACTTCATTGGGAAAGCTCAGGATAAACAGCGAGAGGCTCTCTGATATTCCAAGATCTAAACAGAAAAATCGAGATCAAACATCTGTAGTCGCTGCTGTGAATCTGTAGAATAATTTCTCTCTCCCTGTCAAAACCTATGAAAGGTCAGGAAATATCAAAGATACTACTGGCATTTAACTTTGGCAGAAAATGTTCAGTTGGTGTTTATTTTGTCTAATATGGCCTAATTCAATTTGTTTATTCTGTGCTATAACAGTAAATCATTTGGTTCCAGCTTATGTTTATAATTCATTTAATAGCATTTAAATTCTGGGATTTTTTTTCAATCTTGTTTTTGATGTATTGTAACTGGATCATGTAGTTTAAGCGAAAAACTACATGGAGTTTTATTTTCAAACTCCCTTAAATGTTTCTTATAAATATATGAGAAAGGACAGAGGCGTTGTTTTTAGTCAGTAGTTTTACATTTGCAAATTCTAGGTTTGATAGTTTTGCTCTTTGAATGGGTTTTTGGTTTAGGTTTGCAGCTGATGCTGCTCACCCACTTGGATGTCGGTGCTGGAACAAACAGCTGCCTCCACCCTGACACCCACCTCCTCCGCCATAGCTGCCTGGCACTAAGACCAGTGTGCTAGCTCTACAGCACAGCCAGAGATGAAGCAGAATACCATGTCTTTGTTGTCCACTACAACAGCTTGCTGTCCCTCTTTAGGAGGATCAAGATTCAGAAGAGATGCAGGAACGGAAACACTCAAAAGTTTGTAAGATGAACCTCAGATATCTCCACAGTGAAATCTATAAAGTAAATCAATCAATCCATCAACAAAAAATATTTTGTTTAAAGATGTAAACAAAAAAAAAAAAGAGTTGTGCTTTTTTTAACTTTTCAAAATACTCAATTTGTTTTATACAGAAAAGATGTACATCATTAATACAATGGCTTTTCCTGTAGCTAAAGAAGAACATAATCTTAAATCAGGTAGATTTCAGTTTGTTCATACTCTCTTCATTTACATTAAAATCACCACGATTACTTTGTAGATATAGTCTTTATTTTTTTATGCAGATCATTAACACTAAAGTGGGGCAAATAACATGCTCAACCAAATATAGACACATTTCTGCTTTTGAAAATGTTGAGCACATGTGCACAACCTTCCAAAGCACCTAGGTCTGTCGGCTATATGTGTGAAGAAAGCAATTTTTTTATGCATCATGTCCAGCAGAAAAAAAAACGTTACAGGATTGATGCAAAGAACCATGAATCTGTGATATTTGAGGACACCAGATATCAGTTCCTTGTTGGCTGAGGGCTTCAACTTCACTGCGAATGAGCTAGGGCACCTGCTCCCTGACCAAATCCAAAGCCTTTTGGGCCAAAGTTCTTTGCGTAGCACCCTGGAGAGAAAAATGTAAAAAATTAGGAGGGACAATGATAAAATTCAACTACACGTTTAACACTTCTGAAGCCAGAACAATGATCCATTGCCCATATAAAGGCAATGGATTATTGTTCTTTGTTCAAAACAAAAAAAATTATACAGATACAAAGCAATGTTGAACATTTGAGACAAAGATTACATTTTTTTTATCATAAATTTGATGCGGTACATTTTACAGCCACTGGGTAAGAGGCAGTCTGAACTAGCCAGTCCATCACAGTATGACACAGAGGCATGCAGGATAGAAAACCATGAACACACAGCCAGGGACATTTATAGAGACCAATTAACCTTAAGCCTTGCTATTTGATCGTGGAAGTAACCCTGTAAACTCTTGGAGAGCCCATTCATGGACATGGCCCAAGCTGTGGCTAAACCTAGGCAACAGTTCAATATGTGCAACCTGTGGTTTACAAATTCTACAAATAAATAGAATATGTGCTATGTACTTTATATATGTTAAAGTTTTTGTTATGATTATTACATGACTGCAAATACCTAGGGTAGCAGTTTGATTTAAAAATATCAGAACTCTCCATTACTTCTTGAAAGAGTTAAAATGTAAAAATAAAAAAAAGACACAATAGCTAATTCTATTTTCAATTTGACAGCTAATCAATTTAGAGTTTAATATCCAGTTTGGGTAAACACACCTTTGCAGTAGATTTCTCCATCCCTGTCAGCAAGGGTTGTTGACTCCAGGCCTTTACCACACTTGGCACAGCGAAAGCAGCCCTTATGCCAAGACTAACAGAAAACAAACAAACAAAAAAAAGCCAATGTCCCAATTGAAATTAGTGTCTTTCTTATTTGTATAGGTTAAACCGGTAAACACATATGTAGTATTTTAGTTTTTTCTTACATTGCCTCCCCCGATAACCTTCTCTGCTGCATACACTGTTTTTCCACATCGTGGACACACTTCTGATCCTGCTGATTTCTGGGCGAACTTGGAGGCATTTGGGTTATTTGTAGGTCGATGAGGAGCTTGTCTATCAGGAAAAAGATATTAATTATTTATCAGCAATAAAAAATCTAGTCAGCGAGGAAGTAGAATAATTCAAATAGGATCCAAGTGTTTATACATTTTTGTGAACCTCTTGCCTTCTTGGTTTTAAGTTATATAAGGACTTCCTCTGCTTATGGAGCTTTATTTTACACTTAGAGGTTAAATGATGGAATAATTTAAGAACTTGCTCACTCTTCAGGCTTGATCCCGAGTCCCTCTCCTGTGTCCATGCTCAGCGTGCCAGCTCCCCCTCCGAAGCCATAGCCTTTTGGCCCATACTTTTTGCCATAGCATGACTTGCAGTAGATTTCGTCTACATGTACAGCCACTGTCGTGCTGTCCAAGTTCTTCTTGCACACCACTTCAGTAAGAAAAATGTAAAAAGGAAAACACAGACACTAATTTTAATGCACCAGTTGTAGTCAGTCCTTTATAATCAAGTTAATTCTAAGTTTTTTTTAAAGATAATCATTGTATTCTTATTTGAACCCTAATTTTGTGTGACATTTAAAACAACAAAGGGGTGTAGGGACTGTAGAAGCTCTGCCTTCATCCTTTTCAGATACAAAACCTTTTTCTCCGTATAAGGAAGACCAGGCCTTTGTCACATTTATTCTTGAACCAAATAAGGTCTGAGATGACTGAGTGGAAACCTTAAGATGTTCTCTGCTCGTGCCAAATTCTCTGCATTCTTTCACGGTAGCTGGTATTACTTAATTCAGTCAAAAAAAAAATTTTTTTAAGCAGAAATTTAAGTACTTACTGCACCGAAAACAGGATTTATGCCAGCTCTTCCCTTCACACTGCACCTCCTCGGCAAAGTAGACAGTTTTCTGACAGCAACCACACTTGTTTCCTCCCCCAAAAGGCATTCTGAAACACAAGGCACCAGCTTGTATACATTCCCCATTCCCTGTATATGTAATGTTCAGACAGAGCATCTACAACACTCTAGGCTTGATTCAACAATAACTATAAAAGGAAAAGTGTCTGTTTGCTCTGACATATTGCTTTCCTCCTCTCCTAATCCTGTTTCCTTGAGTCTGCTGGCAGTTTAGGATATCAAAAGAGCGATTCAGAAAACACTGTAAAATGCAAAGAAGCTGTCAGCATGGAGCAGATAGCAAAAGAACACCCTGCATAAGCTCTCAATATAAATACAATATAGCTGTGAAATATGTTAGGTTTTCTTTTAGTTACTTTATTGAGGATTACATCATGAATTACATGAAGGAACTGGTGCGCAGCAGACAATTTTCTTCTTGATTTTTCTCAATTAACAGGGACCTCTCAATTTTAGTTTGCTTTTAATTTTTTTAATTAGAAGGTAAATTGGCCTAGAACAACCCTTTAATCTGGATACAAGAAAGGAAGCATGTATTCTTATTTTATCATTAAAAACCGCCACAATTGCTCAAATTTTATTCATTTGTAAGACATTCTTTATTTAAAAACTCTACATCTTGAAACACTTAAAATATGAAGAGTAGAGGAAACTGAATAGATTTATAAAGTACATATATGATGAAAGATGTTTATTAGTATTCAAAATGAATTTAACTCCAGACTTACCTGTTCTGAAGTAAAAGGCTGTCTCTGGATGTGCTGGAACTAATAGAAAACTGAGTTGAGAGCAGAAGTTTGGTCTGATGAAGAGAAGCTGAGGAAGGCTTTGAGGACACCAGCCTAAACTAAGGGAGGAGTCAGGATAGAGAGACACAGTAGGAGGGGGTTAGTGAGTGAGGTCTGTTTGAGCTACCTTCCTGCAATGTTTAGATGGAACCCTTCCCAATCCACCTGATCAAATGAGTTGCTCCTTAGCAGGTCTTTGCTGAGCTGATGACATGCAGAACAAGTTAACAAGTCAAAGGACTTTAAACATCATTTAGACTTGGACAACTTTTATTGTTATTTTGTACACACAGAGTTTATGCAAAACAAAATTTCATTTTGTACAGCTTTATGAAACATTTCTGTTTCATAAAGTGCAGAAGTGACCAAAAAAACAGTGTGGTTGAAAAGACATGGTGCAAAAACGCATTGATATGGGAAGAGGAGCCCTGATGATCCTCTCTGCTGTTATCACCACTCTTCTCACTTCACACTACAATCAGTGATCCATCAGTCCATACAGTAGTAGCCATTCAAAATGTCCCCACTTTCCTTGATGGGTCCTCGGCTGGTCCCCTACAATTCCTTTTTAAACATCAAGCTTTGTACAAAAATATTCTTTCTGTCAGGTTTTGTTGACATTAAGATCTAAAGAGAAGCGTCATCTCCTTGTCAGACCCTGTAATTCAGTGAAAGGGTAAAGTCAGAGTAAAGTAAAAAAAAAAAATTGCATGCCCAGCAGAAGGAGAGAGTCCCTCCAGTGGCTGGAGGTTGGAGGAGATTTTGCTGGGAGTTGCAATGAAATGGGCTGCCATTTGAGTGGGAAGAGCAATTTTGAATGGCTGCTACTGTACATATATTAAAATACTTACAGTGTTAAGCACCAATCTAGGCACAGCCTCCCTGGGGCATACTGTCAGAGGTGGGGCTGTCATTCAGTCTGAGCCTCTGACCATCAACAAGAAGCAAAGTGGGTCTTTCCCAAGGAAACAACAACTGTGACCATCAGTTACAGGACAAACCCCTTCCTTGCAGTGGTTGCTCAGGTTCATTTAAATTCATTTAAATAAGTGAGTCTGTCTCCGTGGACACCTCAAAAAAATAAAAAAAAATTCTTTCTTTCTTCTGAGACCTTCCTCTTCTGCTTACAAACGTCTAAGACATTTAATTGTAAAATCTAAACTGAGTACATAAAGGCCCGAATTTCACTAGAACTAAAGAGCATGTATATTGGCATTAGGTGAGCACATGACTAAGACTAGCATGTGGGACAACCAATAGAAAAGATGATCCACCTGAAACTCAAAACTAAAAGAAGACTGTCTGCTAAACCTTTATCTAAGACAGCATATATACTGTATGTGTATGTTTATCAGCAAGGGCTACAGAAATAATCAACTCAATCCACTATAATCTATTTGGAAAATGAAGATGTAGTCATTCATTTTTTGTCAGGACAGTGTGGTTGGGATGATTGACCCTGGAATAGTTCTGGCGCCTCTACGATTTTAGCCACCTCGCAGTGGCCATTGTCCCTGCTGGCCACTCCTATAAAAAATTGCCTGTCTGCACCACTGGAGAGCAGGGTGTGCTGCCTGAAGTTGAAGAATCAAAGTTCACATGACAAATTTTTTCTTGTGTGAACTTATTGGATTTTGTCATAAATGTTTTCTTTAATTGGTTTAAGGAAGTAGTAGTAGTTGTAGGAAAGAAGTTTTCTAAAACAAAGAACTGCTGCACTCTTGTGCCCGTTCTTATAGCTTCCGCTTGTACTTACGTTTTTTTTTTTCTTTTACCCTTTTCTCTTTACCTGCAGTTGCCATTGGAGTCTGAGTTTGTTTAACACCAGTCCCTTCCAAGTATCCACAGAACCAATCTTGAATATAACACTTGGATTTTTTGCAAGGTCAGACCCCTTGAACATGGACATGCTTGACGTCACATCGCTGAACAGCGTGGGGATTTCCAACCCGAAGTAATCAGGGCTAAACTACTGAGCTTTCTGTGTGCTCATCATACAACGTTTTAGTCATAAAGGGTCAAATAAACAGGCTTCAGCAAAGATTATTTTTCAGTGAAAATGTACATAACGTCTCTTTAAGAAGCCAAAAACAATTCAACCAGGTTAGTAACTAGAATTTACAGGCAAATACAACTTACACAAAAATGAAGCTCAGTCTACAGATTTTCTGTCAAGCATTCTGATCATATTACTGAAGATCTTTTGCCCTGTGACATTCAACAGTAGCATACAAAGACATTTACCATATTTCCTTCCCGGGTGGAATCAAAGCACATGTGACCTTTCATCATTTCAGCTCCTGCCATCATTCTCAAAACAATGCAGCGATTCTGTCTCTTGGATTATCCATTATTTTCTCATTTCCTTTTAGTTTTCAGTGAATGATATATTGCATTTGGAAGTAGATGAGTTACCAAACACCAAAAAAGATGATGAGGGAAAGGGGAGCCAATGGGGGAAAGAGAAGGATGCTGTTTGGTCTGTGTTTCACCCGCTCTAAGCCCTCCAGGCTCTTCACCATCATAGCATGAGACAGTGATGAACTCAAATAGCCTATTTATAGCCTCCACTTGCCAACACTAGCCCTCTGTCTCTGGTCTGTGGACATCCGCCCTTCTCGGTTGTAGAGTATGCATGCATGTGACTGCCCTTATGATAAACAAGGAACTAGTGGAAGGGAAAGGTGGACTTCGCAATTCATACCGCAGCTTTGTGACTCTTTAGAAAAGAAGAAGATTGGAGGCAATGAAAAAAAGAGGCAGGATTGGGGCTGGGTTTTGGTCCATCAGTCCACAAGGAGTACTAGTCGATCACTGGAGTTTTGTGGAGGATTCTGCAGATTTTGTTAAATTTGTCTTAGCTTCAAGCCAACAGTCCTCTGCTATTTATTTTGATTTTGGAGGGCCTTTTTACTAAAGCTCTGTCAAGGTTCAAGGTAAGGAGGAGGAGGAGCAGGAAGCGGTAAAATGACTGAAATGTGTTGTGCTGTGGTGTAAATATTTAGCTAAATTAGACATGAAATTTGCAATTTGGAGAAAATTACACACTGTAAGATTTTTCTAATAAAAATATAACTGAATGTTTCCAGGTGTGTTTCAAATTTCTAGCAAAAAGTGCTAACAGTTGTGGCACTGAAGGAGAAATGTGTATCTTTAAAGTAAAAATTAGTTCTTGCAAGTCTTTACTTCTCCTTTTCAGATAGAATATTACAACTAAGGGAAAATGCATGTTCCTCTAGTGTTTAACTGTGTTTTAAAAATTCTTGTGGGAGTTAATCTCTCATTTCCTCCCTATTTCACAATATTTCTTTTGCACTTTGTTTAGAAAAGTTCATAATCTATTCAAACTAAAGAAGCAAAAGGTGTTATATGTCTAATGTCACTTAGGTGGAAGACTGTAAAGTATAACTCCTTAGGTCATAAACAGTATTTACATTTATCTTAAGGATGGAGGTTTTTATTGAAGGACCCTTTCTCTATTTTACTGTATAGTCAAACATTTCCTGAATCCTATCTGCTTTGTTGACTCCTCCCCTATCCTGAAATTAATGGGGATGTAGCTATAAAAAATAGTCAGTAGAGGTCGCACATGGGCCAAAAACTGATATTGCTGCTATTGGGATACGCCCTGTATCCTGATTCCTCCAGCCTTCTTTATTTTGGTGCCACTTATAGTGATGATGCAAAAGATGACATAGGTTTATTATCAAAAGCAAAACATGGAAACATAATAGGAAAAAATAAAAGATAATATGCAGAGAGAGCAGGAAGTATTAGAGATTCCTTATCAGTTGACTGGTTCCTTTCCTACCTCCCTGTGGCTCGGAATACTTATGTAGGCAGTTTCAATTAGGCAAGGATTAAGTCTTTGTGATAGATATCATAATAAAGGCAAGTTTGTTTTTCCAAGGTCATAGAGAAATTATATAATTTGAGCATAGATAATCCACACATTTCTGAGTTTCTTTGTCACATTCTTTTCAGTAATTCTTTCTTCTATCCTGTCAGAAGAGTGAATGTTTCCAATATGTTTGCAGATTCTCGCTCTAGACTTTTGTCATCATGCAGAGCAATTTATCTCAGCTGCAAGCTAATTCCTCGACTGAGCTTTAAAACTATATTATGTCACACCAATACACCACCCGTTGGCTTCTATCTTCACACCACTGTATCATTTAGTTGCTCTGGGCACACACTAAATTTGTTCCAGCAGATGTCCTTGGTCTAGTCTCCCCTCTATGTTGAGTATTTTTATTTTCCCACATCACCACCATATAGAGCCACATAAGGCACAGATTGTAAACCATGCTTTGAACATGTAAATGAAAAACAATAGTATAAATTCATCACACCATTGTTCCTGTCAGTCTTTTTTATTGCTGAGCTGACACCTCTGAATCTGTTCCCATTTGGCATAGATTCTCATTGAGGCAGTCTGTACCCTGTAGACACCCAGCTACAATCATGCAGTAACAATTCAAATTAGTCCAGTTCGCTGGCTTTGGCAGTGACTCAGGAGAAAATGCACTCTAAACCAGCAATGCTACAGTCAGAGCTTCAAAGGGGTAAGGATAGAAATTAGAGCAAAGAACAGTTTGAGTATTTTATTAAGTATTTGGTTCAGTTTTAGCTCAGCACTTTTGTTCAGAGGAAAGTGGACTGGAGCAATGCCAGGTCCATTTGAAAGAGGGAGAGTGCCTGGTGGCTGAAGTGGTCTGATCCACATTCAGCAACTGCAGCTTGGGATCTGTCTAGTGTATTGTTATGCAAGCAGGAAGAGAGCAGACCCACTTTGATCTGCACGTCGGACAGAGGCTGAGATGCTCTGGAGCTGGAAGCTGTTTTTAATGGTTCATCATCAGAGACAGCAGAGCATAGAATTTAGTTTTTCTTCTAAAATATGGACACATTTGAACACTGCTCCTTACCTAAAGGATATAAATTGTATTTCTACTGGATTTCATGACACCAAGTTTTGTCGGCTTTATTGTAGGTGAGTGTCAGTTTTATATAAAGTATATGTATATTCTATTAGGCCATTGTTAATGCATGGTAGCTT